CACAGCTGGGAGAAGGGGAGGAGATGCTTGCTACTAACATATTTGTTTCACAGGGCTGCCAGCTGACCATCCTCACTTCTGGCCAGTGTTCACGAAAATCAATCTGTTAATTTAACAGCAAGATGCCAGATAGTTTATTGTCATTTTTCTGACTTGCTTAACAGCAGGCTAGGTTTGATGGACAGTGATTTGAAGTGCAGTGTTTTTTGTTGTGTGATTTTTTGTTGTTGTTTTTATGTTCAGATTTTTATTTATAAAATGCAAGATATGTGACAGGGAATTCCTTAAAAGATAACAACCATTTCTTAAGGTGAATATGCGTTCCTCATAGAAATTCTATTTTTATTAGCTCAAAAAATTATTAAAAGCTTGAATATTTTAATGGTTGATAAGTCAAAGAGCTCTGGCTGCAATCCACTTACAACAAGCAACACTGAAAGAATAATAAGTTTGATTATCTCCCTGTTTCAGTAACTTTTTAAAATTAAATACTAGAGTGGATTTTGCATATTTATTTAGCAAGAAAATAGCTGACTGCTTTACAGTTTATATTAAGCAGAAAAATATTACTTTTCCTTCAAGAGTGCAAAGGTATTTGTACTTTTACCAAAGATATTAGCGTTTTACCATAATTGTGGGGGGAAACAATTTTCATAGAAACAGAAAGTCCATCGTTAACTTTCATGGGACTCTGGTGACCCTTTGAACAGGAATATGCCTCTAAAAGTGGCATATTAAAGTGGCATATAAAGGTATGGACTCTGTTCTATTTATCATTTGACTATAACTCCACCCCTTAGATGATATAGTTTTGTTGTGTATTATACTTGTATACTGCTTTTAAATGCTGCTGCTGCTCTGTAATTTCATTGAGAAATCTGCACTGAATTTCTCAGACTGTAGGTTATTTAGTAAGGCATCTTGTAGCATCCTAAAAATACTTGATTTGAGTCCATCCAATTGTATTTGAGATGCCTGCATGTTAATATTTAAATGAGTTCTTTTGTTGCTCATAACATATATTAGTGCTCGTAGAAATCAGGAATGAACCATGGAATTTGCGAACACTGCCATGGGTGCGGCTAATAAATAAATAAAAGCAAGCAATGCTTGGTCATGCTTTCTCCTGTCTGTCAGGCAGAAATAGAGTAGATGGCTACAGTTTTCCAAGATTGTCATAAAGGGAGTGATAGATTCACCTGGAGGAAAAAAAAAAATTACTTTAGGATACTTTAGGAGTAACTTTTTAACATTTATATGTTAATATTCTTGGCAACTTGGGATAGGAATTCAGAATAAAAGTTCTATGTCAGGCTGCTGTAGTATTATTATCCACTTGTACTTGCTGCAAGCCAAAGGAAAGTTGGAGTATTTTAAAATATGTCTTATCTTGTTCAAAGGCATCTTCTTTTCCCAGCCAATTGTTCAGGGAGCAGACCTCTGTAACAGCACCCTTCTGCTAAAGGTTTCTATTAGTAGGGGTAATGGGTGAGGAGATATCCTAAGATTCAGAAAAAACAGGCGGAAGGTTGTGGAGAGAGGTAAGGGAGATGAGGAGGATGTGTCAGAGTAGAGAGCAGTGGTACAGGTCTCCTACGTGCCCATCTTGTCCCACTGAAGCAACCTGTGTGGCCCCAAATGTCTCTGGAGCTCACTGGTGAGCCTCTGGTCATGTGGTGCTGGGATGAGATGAGAAATTTGGAGATGGCCTAATGCTGATTTGAAGATACTCTACCTGCAAGCTTGCTTCCCCCAGAGCTTCCCTTTGGAAGGCTGGTGTCCCATCTCCTACCTTCCCCCAGTGGTGGTGTTATTCTGGCCTAGGTGTATCGATCTTCTGGTGGTATGGGCATGGACTACGCTTTTTATCCTTCTTTTATCTTGGTAGCAGACTCCTCCATCACAGGTTCTGTAATCTTCTTGTCAGGAACTGCTCAGCACAACCCCACCACCACCCCAGGTCACCTACTCTCAGGTCCCCCCACAGTGCTCATTCCTCTCCTTCTTCTCCTAGTTCCCCCATCTTTGCGTGCTTACTTTCCCTTGCTGTTCCTTGAGTCCATATTCCTTCTCTTTCCTTTCCAAAGCCCTGCACTGAGAGCTGAGCTGTTCTGATGGCTTGGGGGATACTTAGGCTCTGTGTAGCAAAACCCAAGGCTGGGTTTAGGCTCTGCCACTACAGAGACTTCTCCTGATCACAGCTGGTTAAAGCAAGCAGCAGGGACTTTCTTGGCCCTTAAAAATGGGTACCTGGCCAGTATTGTGTACTGATTTAAAACTTAATTGCTTGCGTTGGTTTAATGCATGTAAAGTAGATTTTTGTAGTAGTTGTCTTACTTTTCAACTTCAAAACCAGTAAGGAAACTTTCTTATTACTGTCTGTGTTTGCAGTGCATGGAACAATTGATATGGCAGAGACTTTAAAAGCTCTGCCAAAAATCTTGATGGATAGAAGTTGACAGTAGACAACTGTGATGGTAATGAGAAAGGGGAAGATCCTGAAGAAGAGGCTAGAGAGAATAAATTCAGATAATACTTAGCAGAAATTTAGATTACATATCTCTGAAGCAGATTTCTGGAAAATCATTTTCAGTTCCAGATACATGCACTGCAATTTTTTTCTTTAATCCCCCTAACTCTCATAATGAGACTAGATAATCTTCCGTTTATTGCAGTGTAAGGCATAGTTGAAATACACAATTCAGTTTATCTCTGCAAAGTATGAACGTGTATTTAAAATAATTTCAAAGCTGCTAGTGTAACCAAGAGAAACCAATTTTATTTATATCACTCTGCCTATTTCAGTGATAAACAGATGCTTTAAAGCACAACTTTTCCATGCAGCACCCTACCAACTTAAATGGCAAGAACCTTGCAGCCTGACTCTGTAGCTAGGGCCACATCATGTTCTCCTCCAAGCTCCATGTGCTCCATTATTTAGTAGAAAGATTCCTTTCCATAAGTTTGTCTTCAGTTATTACATTAGACAATTAGTGTACAGTAGCTTACATGGAGAGATACCTTACATGAACTGTAGGCATCCCTCTTTCCAGTAACACAGAGCAGTTGAAAACCTATGTATGCCTAAGGTAACATTATGGAACTATGGGGAATACATTGTTTCTTATAGTGGTGGAAGTCTCTTTGAGTAGGAAAGCAGTATTGTGAATAGCATGGTATGTTTTTTTATAAAATTGTGATGTTAAGACTTAAAGCTTGTACTTACAGAGACTTGGTTTTGATACTGTTGAAAAATAATGGAGACTTCAGGAGGATGTGGGTATGAAGCTTAAGTTGACTGTGTTCATATTTCATTTTATTCAAAGTATAACGGACGTACTCATAATACATGGGACTGAAAATAAGAATATGAGCATGTTGGGAAATCTTCTGTGGAAGCTGGAAAATATTCAATAAAGATAACCATTGTCAACATCCTCTTACTTTGTTTACAATAACATTGCTGTAGAAGTACATCCTTGATATAATCAAGTTTGCTTTGGTAGAAAGGACAGGTAGGTTTACAGTAGATGAGGAAGAGTGGTGAAGTTGAAACCATGTCTGTGTACAGGATTGTTGATGTAAGCATTGTTGTTGGCTAACGTGGCATGGTTATATGGAGAGTATCAGCTATTAAAATCAGTGATGTTAAGCAAAGTGAGTTTTGATGTAACAGTGAAAAAGGTAAAAAGTAAGTAGCATCAACCTATGTGTGAGTACCTTGTTAAAAAATAGGTAACAAATATATACTTGTTTCATATAATGCCATGCTACTAATAGGGAACATCTGCATTTTGTTTGTTCATATTGCTTATTTGATTATTTTCAAATACAGGGACATGACATAGACGTAACCTTTTGACAATGACGTCACAATTTCATGCTTCTGGAAGTTCTTTCAAAAACTTCCACATCTCAATTTGATAATTTTCTTTTTAATGCTTTTCTTGTATAAATTGTGAAAGAAGGAAAATATTTGCAACTGTGATCCTTTAAACAACAGGAAAACATGCTTGTTAATTAGGGGGACAGAGAAAGGTAGAAAAGCTGTCAAGTTTACTGAAATAATAATTTTCTAAGTATGCAGGCCAACATTTTCAAGGGATATGTGATTGTTTCTTGCCAGTGTAGGTGCCAAACTTGAAAATGCAGGGATACAATATATTAAATAATTTCAAGATGCCAGAAATCAATCTTTATTTAGACATAAACCTTTTTCATTAGTTGTACTGTTTTAATATTTTAAGTACTTTTGTTCAAAAACACAAACTGAATGATTCAGAAAGTTTTAGTTTCTGCTTGGAAATAAAGACTTACTTTCCACGTTAGTCAAGTTGGTAATTTTAGAATATTTCAAAATGCTATAATTCAATTAGGAAATTTTACTTTGGGCTAATACTCAAGTAGAGGAGAGACTATTTCTGTCATTAATTTGCTGTCTTTTGGTTTTTGAAATCATCATGAAAGAAATACTATTTTAAAAAGGCCTTGTGATTCTGGTTTTATTTTTATAGTGGTGTGAAGTGTAGAAGATTGTCTTGAGCATCTTTGTGCTTGCATAAGCTGCTAGGAATAGAAGTAGTGTGAGTACATGTGGTTAGTGGATTTTATATAGTAACCATGGAGTATAAAGTGCTCAGTTTTGAATTGAACAATAGAGGTAGGAGCCAGGGCTTTTTAACCTTCTAGTCTCTAAGGTCTATGTAACAGAGCTTATTTTAAACCACTTTGAAGTTTTACTGTGTATTTACAGTGGAGTAACAATAGTTTATTAATTCTAAAACCTGAAGTGACACATATCCATCTTAATGCATTATAGTAATTATTTTAGTTGACATGATTTTTATGCAGTAATTTATTTTTGCCATTTCTAGAGTTAATCTCCTTTAAAATATATATACACTCCTATTGTGTTATTTTACTAATCATGTTTAAAAAGGGAACATTACATATTGAATATTGTACCTCAATTTTATTGTAATGATTTTACTGGTTACCAGGTGGGGTGGCAGTTGAAAAATTTGGTGAATGCACTACGAGAGGATCCGAGTGGTGTTATCTTAACTTTGAAAAAGCGACCTCAGAGCATGCTTACCTCAGCACCAGCTTTACTGAAAAATATGAGATGGAAGCCCCTTGCTCTGCAGGTAATGAAGCTTAATCATAAGTCATACACCATCATTTTACCTATAAATTATCTCAGTGATGCTTTATTGTGCTTCATCTCAGCAGCATATGGATTTACTCTTGTATGCTTTGAAAAATTGTTTCTGAAATGATTTCTCTGTAGTTTGTTCTCATAGGATCAACTGAAATTAAACCTGTTACTAGAACTTCTCAAAGTTAGGAAGTAATCAGCACAATGTTTTGCAAAGCAAAAATAGTAGCCCCAAAGAACTTTTCTAACCATGGGAAAGCCATCATACCTAAGAAAGTTATAAATTTTAGTTTGACTTCTTATTAAGCTCTCCATGCAGTATAAGCTCAAAGAAAGAGAGGAGGAAAAGATCTGTAGTTCTCAGTTTGATCATGGCACTGTAGGAAAATTTATACTGTGATTTTAATCCACAAAGCATGTGACAATCAATATTTGCTCATGTAAATAAAGTTGTATCTATGTTGACGTTTTACTTGAGATTGAACCATTGCACATAAGAAGGTGTAGGACAGGATGTCCAGCTGGATCTTTAATTTTAGGATGCCTGTAATGGTTTGAATGGTTTCATTAAAGCTTTCATATTTCACTCCAGGACAAAATGTCAGTGTGATGGATTACTCTGGGAAATAAAAGTTATCTCCAGACTGATGAAAGCGTGTAACCAACAGATGGAACTGAAAAATACTTTTATTTTTTTATTCAGTTCAGATAGAATAATGTTTAGAATTCTATTTTCTTTGCATAATGAGTGCATTCTTCAGTACATTTTTATTACCACAATAAAAAGTCTAATTTAAAATTAACTACATTTGAGAGAGAAAATACTTGCATAGTTTGTGCAAAAGGAAAATGAGATGTAGAAATGCTACTGCTAATGGCTGTGGTCTTGTCCGTTTAAAATATTAACAGGTTCATAAAAAGTATTAACAACTTGAAGAATCTCTCTCAACTATATATATTTTTATATATAAAAATATGTTATAATGGTTAAATGCCTCATTGTCTTTCAATCTGAGTAAGTTCCTAAATGACTGAGGTATCTTGGTCTTTCAGATACAAATTACTGACAATAGATGCAACATAAACTTTCAACCAAAAATATCGTATTAGTGTCTGAACATAAAATTTCAAATCTGTGTGCATGATAAGAGTGCATAAATGTCCATACTTGAAGGCTGTGAAAATATAAGTACAAATTAAAAATGCATATATATGCTTCATTGTTTTAAATGGGGACAAATGCTTTCACTCTAAATCCTTTTTGTGTGAGTTTTTTATTCCTTTGGTGAGTTGGGTTCATTCCCCTAAATATTCCTTTTTGTTTCACTTTATCATTTGTCACTAGAATAATTCAACTGGAGAATGCACAAGAGAAGTTTCTGAGACAGGCCATTGATGTAGATTATAGCAAATAGGTGATAAATTTAAGAGGGTGGGAAAGAGTGGGAAGAAATGGGATAGAAACCCATTTCCACTGTCTAAAATGAAGTCCAGTAAGAAAGTGAGGATATCTGTGGTCCTGTTACAGAGAATGCAGTCATGAGAAGAAAATGTGAGGATGTTTGAAACTCCATGCTCAGTTCCAGAAACAAAAATCCAGTTGTCTTTTAGCATGTTCTGTTTCACTCTGATTTACATATCAGCATCCTTAGTTCAATACAGATACTAAGGAGTGCAATTCATATGACTTTATATATCTGCTGTGTGTATATCTACATTCGGGTTTGTCATTTTTACCTTTGACCAATGGTCATACAGAACATTTATGATTTCATACATCTTGACCTATTTTAGACTGATTGACCTTAGGTAGAGGTGAAATGAACCATATGTATGCCTCTTTCTCTCCATTTGGTGATAAAGCAAGTGTGGACATCTAGCTTGAATATAAATTATGTCTGTAAAATGAGATTGATCTGACAATATTTAGAGGTTTCCTGTAATCTTACAGGTTTGGGTGGAGTGGTAACACTTTTGTTTATTTTTTTCCTGATAGCATAGAAAATACATTTCTATGATAGACTAATGTGAGTACAAATAGAGACATTGTTAAACATGAGAGATATAATTCCAGTATCATGATGATATTGTTCTGATTTTTATCAATCATAACATCCAGAAAAGGCCAGAACCTCATTCAACACTTGGGTGCAGTGCACATATGTGCATCTGTTATAATTTGTGATGTCACAAATTGTGAGAAGCAACAGTTTTCCTAAATAGACTGAGTGACAAAAAACCTTCAAGATGACATAAAGACGAACTTCCGAGGCTGCATAATGTGGAGATTTCTGTTGTTAATTTACGCAGATCAGTGGTGAACAGATGTTAAAGTCCACTGGTGTTAAAGTTGAAATGCAGACTAAATGTGAAAATGGTGCTGTACATTTGATAAATAAAAAGCAGCAAAAGCAGAGTGTAATTTTATAGCTATCAAAATATGAGATAATGTTTATTTTTTAGTTGTTCCATTTCTTTCTATATTCCAGTATTTATCCATTATAAAAGACAGAATGTGCTTTTTTTTTCTTCACATTTTCTGGGAAAAAAAAATAATAAAAACACTTCTGAAAATCTTTTTGTTCCAAATTCACATAAAAGTGCTTTTCTGTAATAGGATCATGGGAGTTAGTGAGAGAGAATGGGGTAAAGTGATAGTAAATAAGAAAAAACATAAAGGAAAAGCAGTACTTCCATCACCTTTGGAAGTAAGGGAAATTACAATACAATGTTTTTCTGTATCAGGATATCATGAAATAACTAAGAATGTTATAACTGTGCTGTCATCCCAGAGCTAAGTTAATTGAAACATATGTATTATTCAACAGACACAAGCTATGAAGATATTATGACTCAGTAATAATTCTGTTAAACTACAAGATATGAGCAAAAGCCTCAAAAGACTTTGGAATAAGATATAGGGATGAAGTTCTAATAAAATGTGAATCAGGATCTGCAAACTGGCTGATGTTTTTTTCTTTGGTTCTGCAAATGGTGTGAACTAAGGAAAAACATGGTGTCACAAATTGCAATGAATGAGGTGGGAAAGTGGAAGTTTACCCTAATGTAAGGAGGCTGGCAAATGGATGATATCAATGAGGATTTTTAATAGCTGTTGTAGGAAATTCAGAGGGTAAATATTTCAGTTATTAAAATAAGAGAGTAATTTACATTGAGATTTACGTTGGGATGTTTTAACTGAAAAAAAAAAAAAGATTTTAGTTCAAAGTGAGTAGTGTTGAGGCACTGATAAAATGCATTCTGCTTGTTTTGTTGATAATTCTATTTAAAAACAAAAGTTTGGCATTTGCAGCTACATGAAAAACTAGGCTTCATGGAAAAACAGTAAGTATACCTGTAGGTTGGGATAATGCTAGATAAGTCTTCCGGTTCAGGCAGTAGGCAGGTGCTATCAATCAATTCAGTGTGTGACTTTTACATGGTATCCTGGTCATTGAACTATGCCTCCCATGCATCCTGTGTAGCAGTCCCGAAACTGATATCCAATGGCTTGATGTAGAAGAAAATAAAACTAACTATGGCTATACTTTATATATATATTTGTGCACCATTACATAATGACTTTGTATTTACAATTAATTGCATTAATTCCAGGTATAAGGTCAATCTGTACTGAAAGAAAAACATCTATTTTCCCCCCTCTTGTGTCCCAATTAAAAGTGCTCTGGATTTTTTTGTTTGTTTGTTTTGTTTTGTTTTCAGTCACTTGATGCTTGTCTGTTTTAATATCCATCAGTATCCAACTTCTTGCAGATAATCAAAGTCCTCCCTTAACACATTCTGGAATTATATCGATTTGGAATTTGTGAAGTCAAAGGATTTTCAGCCTGAGTATTTTGTTATTGCTTTTATAAAATTTGAATTAAGCAGCTATGGCCTTAGGGGTTTTTTTGCTTGCCTTTGCAGTTGAAGGTATTCATTAATATGGTATTGTGTCACAAATATTAAGATTTCATGCCTGCAAGAGGAATCTTACTATATTTGCCTTTCAGTTACTTCCTCTGATACTCTGATCCATTGTGTGAAAGCTTAGAATGATATTTCAGATTGCAATGTTGTAACTGAACATGTTGAACAAAACAAATATGATTAATCTCTTTTTTCCTCTATTGACATAGAAGTGATTTAATTATCTTAGAACTCTCCTAATTTTTGTCTGTCCTCAAAGCAATCAACTGGTGGTTCAAAACCTAATAGAAATAAACATAATCTACTCTATTTTGTCTGTTTCTCCTTGCCATTTTATATTACTTTTGGGAGGTTTCAAACAAAAGCTCCCTAAAGTGCAGTTTGAACCAGGGTGGAAATTTTGCTAAAGAAGATTCTTGGAGCATAGGAAACCTTAAGTAAGTCACTATCATCATGTTAGCAAGAAACTAGCTGAAAAGTCCTCCTTTGTTTCTGGAAAATGCTTTGTTAATTAGTCAAAAAGAAACTGACTACAGTGTGAAGACTCTTCATCCAGTGCATTTAACGTACAGAAAAGGAATGGTAGAGCAACATGTTGCCAGGCTTCAGCTAATTTAGAAAGCCATTCTGGTATCAGTGAAAAGGCTGTTACTAATAGTGTGATTTGGGGCAAGTCCACCTGCTAGCCACATCTTGTGTCTTGACTTGGAAAAAGCCTTCTGACCCCTCTACATACTTGACATTCTTCACCAAGCTTATTTAAATGTAATCTTTTGTATATTTAAAATAGTTCACTGTACTGTTTTTTATGTGATTAAATTTTACTGTTAAAATCACCAAGACCTCAGTATCTGTAGTTTTTTTTTGTTTGTTTGTTTGTGTTTTTTTAATAGACTTTATTTTAGATTAGATATTCATCATATCTCCACTATGCTACATTCAACTTTTCAGACAAAACAGCAACAATAACAGCAGAGTTTTACAGAAAATACTATTATTTATATTGTTATTTTTCTTTACTTGACTATATTGCCTCCTTCATTCTTCTAGAGACAATGTTATATTCTGTTTTCATAATTTATGATTAGAATTAATGACCTTACACTTTTTAATCATTGCATTTGAATAAAATACTTGGTTCTTCAGTTGATTATTTGTCTTTTAACTACATGGGAACTGGGCATTTTTTGCAGCATTGTTAAAATGAATTCTGACTGGGTTTTCCTACAGTGTCTGAAATAGTTATAGTACGTCATAACTTCATGTCATGGTTCATCTTATAAAAGGTTTATTTTATTGAAAACATTTTGTTCAATAAATTGTGATAATCTTGGTTCGATATGAAAATATATTAACAGTAAAATATGTTTAGTAAACAGTTAAAAATGTTTATTTATGCAAATACTGTGTAAAGATATTACCAGTTAAAATCATGTATTGTTTTTTTCTTATATTTTTAAAAATCGTATGCCTTTGTCTGGAGTAATGTTTCTCAAACTATATATTGCAACTGCCAAGGGATCTATCTAAAGGTTCACAGAGCTTTTAAAAACATTAAGCAAAACTTCAGATGGTACATAATTATTAATTATATTAATTGCTTGGGGCGGGGAGGGAAGCCGATTTACTGGGAGCACAATCTCAGTTTCCAGGATTGGCAATGAGTACTTATAGGAACTTCTGATTTCCCTGTCCTGGAGAACCTAAGGCTGCTGTGAGTAAAGCCAATTGTCTCTTGTCTGGTCAACTGACAATTTAGAAAAGGGTCCCTAAACACTAATGATTCTGAAGGAGGATGGTCCACCCAGGTCATTTGAGAAACAGTACTTCCAAATGTATTGAAACATGAATTTTTTGACTGACATTGTGTGTTAACATTGATGCAGAGCTTTATGTGAGATATTTTTGAGGCTATTCCAGTTTTAATATATAACTTCTAAACTTTCTTTGTCAGACTATTCCCATGGGATAAGTATTTAAATCTCTGGACCTGAAAACTTTTTATTTCAGTTTCAGCATTCCCAATTGCCTATGACAGCCTACTAAAAGGGACTGCAGCAGAAGAAAGTTCTAGTCCTTGGAAGAGAATTAACTTGGTGATAACACTGATCTCCAAGGCATCTAGATCAGGAATACCTGAATTGGAGTTCCATGTAATTTTCTGTTCAATGTACCCGCATGGTATAATATGGTCCACCGAATGGCCTGTAGTATGAACGTGATCAGATTTACTTGCAGAAGCACAGATTGACTTGAACTGAATGGTTGAGAAGCCTCTAAATTGCAATTCAAAATGCCTTGAGGGTGCACCTTGCCTGCAGGTCATATTCTGAAGGCTCTCTTTCCAACAAGGAGAGCCTGAAGACTTTGATTCCTTACAAAATGAAAGTCGAACTCCTGTAGCACAAGGTGGTAGTTACTGCAGTGCTCTCTCCATGCCTCACTAACAGGAGAGCTCATTTGAATGCTTTAACCATGTTGCAGTTCTTTTAAAAGAACTCGCTGATTCATCAGATGAAGTGGTGATAACTATCAAAAATAGCAGTGATATATTTATACCACAAAATTTATAAATATATAAATTTATATTTATAAATTTGATACATATATGAATTTATATATTTATAAATTTGAAACTTCTGTTCCAGTTATGCAGCTTTTCTGCTTTTGTACAAATGAGCCAAAGAGTTGAGTCTGGCAATGTGACCCAGGTATACTAAAGACATGAGACATCCTAGTATATTTTGGGACAGTCCCAAAGGATTGTGCTTCCTCTTGTATGAGATTGTATTACAGCTCCTTTTGGGAGCTCCCGGTGTGCTGGGAAGATTACCTGCATCGCCATCCTGTGAGATACCACAGTCATTTGGACTCCTACCAGTTACACTGTGATTCTCACTGCTGAAAATGCTCTGTAATTTAACATGGGAACAGTCTGAGGGAAACATTTTACTTCCAGAGCTCTGTGTTAACTAGATAACTTGTGTATTTCTCTAGTAGACTGAATGTCATTTCTTCTTGTGGCACCTAGTGTTTTAACCACCTCACCTAGCCAAATATAAAAAACAAATATAAACCAAAGTTTGCATTTCTCAAAGACATGCAAAATCCACTGATTTCCACAGTCTCCCAGCAGACTCCTCTGAAGGAAAAGCTAACCTCCTTGTTGTCTATTCAGGAAACAACCTCCTGGCTGTCTATTCTCAGGGCCTCACAAAGTTACCTGGTAGAATCCTCAGACTTGAGAAAAATCATTTTCTAGAAATTAAGCCCATCTCATTAGTATTTAAATAGTTAAGCCTGGGTATTCCAGGCTGGGAAATTCTTTACCTGTGTCCTGTAGCTGTTCAGCCCCTAGTCAAGATTAGTGTGGGCTCAACAACTCATTGTAAGCCCAGATCACGGTTATGCTTGGGCACGATTTTCCTTATGTGACAGAAAACATAAAATTTTGATTGCCATGGGCCTTAGGGCCCCATTTCCTCTTATCAGCCTATTCATTCAGGTAAAGTAAAGGGCTGTCTTCCTCCTCAAAGTGGAGAAGAGAAATCCATCTGCCCAGCTTATATTCCTCTCAGTGTTCCTGCAAGTATGAGCCGTGAGCAACAGCTTGGGCTTAACAAGTGTAAACATGGTCTAGGTCACAAAATTCTTTTGTCTTAGAAGGAAAATTAATTCTACAAGCCATTCAGCAAGCTGCAAAGTGCACTTGTAATAAAAATGCAAGGTATCACAAAGGAAAAACAGCATTGCTTTAGTAAGTGTTTCAAGAACATCTGTGGCTATGGTGTCACAGATGAAAATTTAAAAGATAAGGATTCTGTTCCTCTGAAAGAGTTTTCTTTGAGTTATTTCTGTTTGTTTTGTTTTTCTTCCCTCAGTTTTGCTACCAACTTTAATCTTACTTTTTCAGACTTCAGTCTTCTGCTTGTTTTTTAGTGGTTGTAATGTCTTTTACCTGTCTGGCTTTGTGTGTGTGTGTGTGTTTCTCCCTCTCTTCCTGTAAGTAATAGCTGTCTTTCATTGGCCTGGTTACAGAATGTTAACTCTAATGAGCAAGAAAATAATTTAGCAGTATCATTGTTTACAGGTGATGGATTTCTACATTCAAAAAGAATGAATTTGTTTCAGTTTATAGCAGTAGTTGTAAAGGTGGACTTGAAAAGTTTTAACAAGAAAATGTTGAGCCTACAGTTTATCATGTTTGAGATGACTAACATCTAACACAGCTCTGTTCCTAAAATACAGTAGTAATTGATTAAAGGATGCCTGAGATGTCCTAGGTGGGATGTGTTCTTAAGATACAGATTGAAAGAAAGTAATGCAATGGTGGGGACTTTGTGTGAGAAGCATAAATTTAGAAGGGCTCATCACGAGCTTGTGAAAGGCCAACATTTTGAAAAAAAGTTCCTGTTCTTGAACTCTGTTTTTTTGTGTTTTTTTTTTTTCAGTGTAGGTATACTACTAGAGTGTCAAGATTAATATCTAGAAGATGAGAACTGTGGGTTTTGTTGTTGTTGTTGTTTGTTTTTGCACAGGAATGCCCACAGTTCTGTCATAAAGTATTTTTAAGAGTACTGGCAGAAGGATCTTTCTCCACACCTATTTAGTTAGTATTCAGACCTTCTCTGCCATAAATACAATGTGAAATATGTGTCCTCCAGTAGTTACTTAGTTCAGAAATTATAGGTGTGTTGCACAGTATGTCTTCCCCAAACCTTTTTCTTCAAGGAGTTCACTTCCAACAAGATAGAGAGGAAAGAACTCTTTCGAAGCAAAACTCAGTATTTCTTGAATATTAGATCCAGATTTTAGATGGTGTATGGAGATATTGTTAATTGCTGTTTTGCTAGTTTTCTGTTTATCTATCAGACAAGCCAAGAAGCACAAGACCAACATATTATTAACCACACTAGAGCAATCTAAGTTTGCTTCTCATTTCATTTTCCTGTATCTGCATCTATATAGAGACTATTAGCAAATCTTGCTATAATTTATAGTCCTGCAATGATTTAATAATGTCTTCAAATGGTTGGTCGTTTTTTAGCTAGCCAACGGTAGTTAAGTTAAAGAAGAAAAACACATATTTAATTTGAAAGAGAATAAAGATGTGATTAAGATGGAGGATCATTTTTGGATGGGAATAATAGCTAGAATGCATGATCATTCTATGAGAAGGGTACAATTTATTTACCTGTGAGTAAACGTTACTTTGTGAGGAAGTATTCCCAGGGGAGTGAATAATAATAATAGTAATCTACAATTTATTCTGTCTCATAGCACGTGTACTCCAAGTATGCAGTACCTGAATTTACAGCATCTGCAGACATAAATTGAAGCTCTTACAGTTACTCCTTAAACTGTAGAGCAGATGGGGGAAGATGACATTCAATTTAATGCCTACTTATGTAGCTTTTAGTGTAAACACTAGACTTTTTTCTTTATAATGTTAGTTTAATTAAGGAATTCATTGGATTCTGTATGTTATTTACTCATAAAGATTTCACCAGTGGCTCTACTGATTACTGTTTTTATGGGCATTGGCAATACTTTTGCTTTGCAAGGGGGAAAAGGGAAAGATGTTATCAGAGACAATTTTATAAGCACAATACATGTCCATTCATAGTTGTATCTCCTTAAGTATAAGTGTTGTGTTTTTTTTTTCAACTAGTTTAAAATCACACAAAATATTAGAAATGTTAACTATTTCTTCAACTTTATGAAATGTAGAATGTTTGTAGCTTTTTCAACTAGAAGTAGATAGTATTTAAGAATAATCATGATTTTCCTCTCTCTCTTTTGTACCAGCCTCTTATTCCCAGAAGTCCTACAAGCAGTGTTGCTACACCATCCAGCACTATCAGCACACCTACAAAAAGAGACAGCTCTGCCCTCCAGGATCTCTACATACCCCCTCCTCCATCAGAACCTTATGTTCCCAGGTAAAAAAAAATAATAATAATAAAATAAAATAAAATAAAAATTTAGGGCACTATTCATTGTCAAAAATACCTGTAAAATAACTGGCCATTCCGTTCCTATATGATCATTGGTATGCCCTGCAGGGTTAGGCTGCTAATATTTCATTTTACAGGGAAACTGGTTGTTAACAGTAGGTATGCTGAATCACACCCACAATAACCTGAAAAGGTGTCTTGTCCGAAAAACAGTCAGTAGCCTTTAGAAAGACAGGTTCAATTCCCTGTTTTCTCAAATGTGGGATAATTTCCATATACAGGATGTCCAGTCAATGTATTTTTAAATTACTTCTTGCTTTTCTTTTAGTTAATTTTCTTGCAAAAGTTGTAAGAGCAGTGTGTCCTTTCTTGTACCTTTCTTGTACAGTTTCCTGTACCTGAAGTTCTGATTTTTTCTTAGGCTCTCATACCAGTAACTGCTAGCCAGTTAATAAGATGTGTATGACCTGATGATGACAAGACTTTCCTGGGGGCTATCCAAGAGTTAGGTAGATAGTAAATTAAATTGCCTAGTGGGGAGGAGACGTTGTGATTCTTTGATAAATTCTTGCTCTTCAGAGATACAAAAAACTTTCCAGGGCAAAAAGGTGACTTTCCACTTCATGATTTAGATGATGCCATATGCCTTCCATAAAGCCATAAGCTGAGTCTTGAGTTCCTTTTTCATCCTTGCTTTGTCTGCTGCTTGGTCTGCTTTTATTTCTGAGGAAATTTATATATATATAAACTATATGCTAGTATATATATATGCTAGCATATATATATATATATAAAATATTAAATAAATATATATATATTAAATAAATAATATATATATATATACAGAAAGCAACCCAAACCAAAACACAGTCTTTGATTTCTCTTTGAACAAAGTAGTTATATAGTCAAGACCTGTCACTCTTCAAACTGGAACTGTACTGTCCTAAAAAATAATTAGTGCTTTTATACTGCTATTGATCATGTTTACTGCCACAAAAATACTTTTTTAATTTGAGATCTTCATTACGCATTTTAACTATTTATTAATAATATGTCTTAACTCATGATGGTTAATGCAGTAGTTTGGATGAATTCTGATTAAATATTGTAATACATATTAATATAAGGTGCAATCATACAGAGAGAATACTGTAGTTTTGAACTATTTTTGCCAGCTTAATCTTAATGGACTACGGTTCGTTTCACAAACCTGTCACATACAGTACAGAGTTTCTGAATGATCTGTTTTGGCATTTCATCTGTTCTATCAGTCCATGATTTACTGTATTTAAGCATATCTGTATTTTGGGTATTATCAGCTGTTCGATATCTGTTTTTCAGTTTGTTGTTGCTGTTCCAAGGGGGAATGAGGAAAAAAAAAAAAAGCCATCCACAAACCCTTCTCTTGTTTCTGGAAGAGTAAAGGATTTGATACTTTGATGTAAATTGTAAAACACTAAAGCCTTTTTACACTGATAATACAGTATACAGATATTACACCCACAGACACTACAGCTGCCAGCATAACCACACAAAAATGGCATGAGAAAGTGGAACCTACCCTTTCTTTGTGCCAGTTACTGACAAGTACAGGTCATAAATTAGTGCCTGGCTAAGTCTATTGAGTGTCTTTGTGGGGAGAGAGCTAAATCCCACATCTCCAGTAGGCTACAGTCAAGATTATTTGCCTGGGGGCTCTGCACTTCCCTTAACGCTGACAGTGAAGGTCTCTCCAGAGCTGTCTGTCTGTCCTACTTGTCATGGAGATCTCTTTGTACTAGTCCATGAGTGGTGACAGGAGACGGTGCCCGTAGAGGTCGTATGTATGTATCCTGCTTCTTCCTCATGGTAGCTGCAGCATGGATTAACATCTGGCTGTTCTGCATCAGTCTCCATCATTTTACCTGCTGGCATCAGCACCATCACCAGGCAGGTCTTCCCATGACAAGCTTACAGCCCTAGTGGGGCTGTGCCAGTCCCACTCCCTAAGACAGCACCATCCCTACTCTGGGAAAGGCTGGCAAAGAGAGCATAGTGGCTGGTGGGGTTTTCTGTTGCTCTGGTGTCACTCCCAAGCCAGGTTGGCCCTGTGTCATCCTGTGGGTCTGCCTGGATCCCAAGAGGGGTCTTTTCTATGTCCTCACGCAGAGTCTCAGGGAGCCAAGGGAAATATGGGTTAGCATGGTGGTCAGCTTGGCACTCACACAGCAGTCCAGAGGGGCAGAAGCTCTCCAACAAGGCCATGAGGCCCCAGCTACTCTCTTAGCAGCCTCCCTTGCATTTCTCTTCTCAAAAATTATTTTCTGATTAGGCCTTTTGAATCCATTTTCAACCCTACCAGCAGTTTGGAAGTGAAACAGTGGGAAGGAAACAGTGATCTGGTTGGTGAAGGGAGTGCCTTGCAATGCATTGCTGTCCTAGGACAACAGCTCATGATAGGTTCCACACACCATTTCTGGCACTGCATGGACATACCTGTACAACTCCGAGGCCTCAGTGGGCTTGTTCAGGACTTTGTCAAATGTCTGTACATCATTGGTCCCTGATTATTTTTGTTTTGGGGTTAATTTGTTAGGAACCAGATTGAATTTGTCTGTGCTTATCATTTAACCATGTTTTAAAACTATCTGATGCAAAATGAAAGCATAAAAGAGTAAGATCAACATTATTTCCTTGCCCTAAATCAAAAAATGCTAGTAGCTTCTGAAAAAAATCAACATAGAAAGAGTAGCTGCAATTCACCTTTATTTGAATTATTCTTTTCAAGAGAAACTGTTAAGATTCAGTTCCATTACAGCAAATAAGCAAAGATGTGTGAGATAACTAGCATAGACATACATATATGTGCATATGCAATGTATGATCCTAATTTTGACGATAACTGTTTGCAACTTATATGAAATCTTGACATATTCCCATTTTTTACTGACATATTCACATTTTAAAAAGAAAACAAAGTCTTATTCCAATCTATTAAAAAACACTTTCTTGTTTATTAAAGGGACGAAAAGGGAAATCTCCCATGTGATGATGTTGGCAGACATATTGTAGGCAAACCGGTTCATACAGGATCCGAATCTCCAAACTCATTCCTTGACCAGGAATATCGAAAGCGCTTTAATGTGGTTGAAGAAGATGCAGTTTTATACTGCTATGAGTATGACAAAGGAAGAACAAGTGGTCCTGGAAGGAGAGAGAGCACACCAACATATGGTATGGCGTTGATCTGATAACAATAATCACCATTTGTTTATTTTACAATTTCTTCATGCATCTGCTTTTGTATTTAGGCATGAAAATAATTTCAGTGGCTATTAAATTTGCTAAGAATTCTGTACAACTTCAGTTTAATTTCAACCAAAGAGCTTATTCAAATCTTTACTCTCCAGGTTATTTTCCCTTTGAATCTACTGGAACTCTTGCTTTACCTAGCAACTTATTTCATCTTTCGACTAGGAAAATTGGTTTTCTGTTGCCAAATACAGAACTGTGCAATGGCAGAATTGTTAGAATATAGAAGAAAATGAAGAGGCAATCTCATTTTTAAAAGAGTTATTTTGACTACCGTGGTGTTAACTCAGCACACAGTTGAATGTTCTTTCACCTCATTTGCTATGTTATTTCAATTATTAAACTGAGTATAAACTGCATGTTGGAGTTATTATAGTAATCCAGACATCCCTTTGAGAAGAAGACAGAGTTAATTTATGAGGAAGCATATATTTGGTACATTGTACAGTCAAGCTCCAAAATCACTTGGGAACCTTGATACAAATTGAGCTTGAGCTCTGTAAATTATCCTCAGGACTTCAAGCAATATGCTTGCACAATCTTAAAGGATGTGGTTTCATAAAATGCACCTGTTCCACACAGCCATACAATTGTGCTGCAAAATCCTCAGTATCTTTTTGAGTTTGAAGTGTTTTCAGGTGTTTTCTAACCATGCCTATACTGTATGAAATAAATGCTAAATGTTAAAGTTGATATATTAATTTTATTACTCCTGTATCTCAACTATTATACTTGGTGTATGTAGTCAGTTCCGTTAACAGAGAGGTTATCTGTTCCAGATGTTAAATTTAATACTAGTGGTCTAGAGGGAAGAAGAACACATTCTTTGTTCAAGGACTGCTGAATCCATTATTTTATTACAGGATAGTTTTTGTAGCCTTTTTCCCAATTAACTGAAAAGGTTAGAATACATAGATCAAAGACTGTACTGAAAATCAGACATTATTTAACACTTTTATTATACAGCATTTCACTTTTGATCTCACTTCTTTTTTAATGATTTCACACCACACAGTCCATTTTCACTTAAGTATATTTTCTAAAAATATTACCATTTCAACATTAAATTCTGAAGTTCCCCACATGGCATTTGTTAGCACAAGATTTGTGGCTAGACATGACCTTAGAATTTCACAGAAGTCTGGAAAATGAAAATAACACCATTCTGGCTTATGGTGGCCCATTAAAGAAGGTCAAATGGAGTTCCAAGGCCTAGAGAAAAAATTGTTTTCAACATGTACTTATTAATTATATTGTGGCATTAATTTTTTTTTTATTTAATGCTTCTTAGCCCGCTTTCATGAGGGACCTCTATGATTTCTTTTTTATGTATCTATGGGCTTTTTAACACTGTTAACCAATAGACTTCTTTCATATTCTTATGGGCTTTCAGCTGTTGTATAATTGTTTCTAGTTGGCCTCAGAAAGCTTAAGTTCACATCCTAGTGATGAAATTTTCCTGAATGTAGTCATCAGGGAAAACAGATTTAGGGGGAGGCAAGTGGAGATTACTAGTGGTAGCAGACAAATGAAACTCAGTTTTGAGGAAAGAAACAAATTTGGTCATTGCAGTTTTATTGCCAGATACAAAAAGCATGCACTTTGAACACCTGGAGATATTATGGAAATTTTGTTATGGCTATAGCTTTTGATAACAGTCACTCTTTATGTGATTTTTTTAGTTTTGTATCTGTTTAATTTTACAAGTGCTTTCCATAGGATACTGTGAATTCAGACTTACATAGAAGAGAAGATTTCTAGAAAAAGCGGCCATTAAGTTACTTCTAATTGAGGATACATGAGCCTAATATATCCACCCTCATGAAATGACTTCTTAATGATGTGCTTTAAATCTCATTCAGACTTAAAAATGTGCCCATAAATAATAAAATAAATGATAAAAAGTTAAACGTATACATGTTTTTCCCAAGTAATTATGTATATGTGAACTGATCTTGTGGTCTGTACACGTTTTTAAACGTGTAAAACGGCCTTTTACCATTATTCTGCATGCATGGTATGTTTCCAATGGATGCCATACTTAAATACATAGATTGACATGTATAAATATTTGTTTTCATTATAACCAATTGTCCTTTTCATTGTATCGTGTGTTTAACATAAACGTGGAATAAGAATGATCACCTTTATGTAGTGGGATTTCTTTTAAATAACTAACAGGACTTATGAGTTTCATTTATTCTTTTTTTTTTTTCTTTTTTGTTAAGCTCTGATACTTTTCAAAATAATAATATTTTTCCAAATTTTATTTTCTGTGACCAGCAGATTGATTTTAGAAAAGAGCAAAAGCTGGCCTTGTTTCTGAAAACATTTTGTTTTCAGTCTGCCAGATATTGTTCCATACTCTATTTTTCTTTTTTAACATGCTGTTTAACTTGCTAAAAACTACAGATCACTTTAAGCAACCCCACTAACTTGCATGGCACATTTTCACTGAATTTCTAACGGTATTTGTAGAATTCTTAGGCAGAAATTATAGTTCATAGCATTTTTAAAAATCAATTCTGCAGCTTCCAAATCAAAACATAAAAGATACAGTAGTTGTATCTTTTCTGTCACTTGCTGACATCTGAAATCAATGTGAAGTTTCCAATAGTAACGCACTTTGCTTTCTGAAGAGGAGATGCCACAAAAGAAACTATAGAGGTTTTCTCTTTCCTTTCTTATTCAGTCACTAACAGATCTTTTAAACCTCCCAGCAAACATGCTATTTGAGAAGATACTTTAGCGACGTGGACATATTTATTTTGCCAACAATTCATTCCATATATGCATTAAAACAGTTCTCTATATGTGTGTGCCAGGGGCTTCTAGCATAATAAATAGATATTGTTCAGTGAAAACTAAACTAAGTAATTTCAGTGTGTTTCTCAGTCTCAAACATCAATCTGCTGATGATTTTGTAGGGCACTGGATTTCTTCTCTGAATTTTAAAAATCAATTAAAAAGTCCATGATGTACTTTTAGCTGCTTCTTCTTCTGTTAAAGAAAACAGAACTCCTATCTCAATCTCTTGTTCAGAGGCTATGCTCTTTCATAAGCAGCACTGTAGAATAGCATCTTAACACAATTTCTTCTTTCTCTCAAAGAATGTTAGTTTAATACTGCATTATGGTGCATGATCTCAATTTTTTCCTCTGTTTCCAGGGAAACTAAGGCCTATTTCTATGCCAGTAGAATATAACTGGGTGGGGGATTATGAAGACCCCAATAAAATAAAAAGAGATAGTAGGAGAGGTAAGTGATCTGGACACACATCTTGTACAAGGCATTATGGGTTTTATCATGCTTTAAGACATGATAATATATAGTTCAAGCTCTCATTTTGCTGCTTGCTTAGATAATTGTTTAAGTGGACCTGTTTTAGGTTCTTCCATTATGTGTGCTTATTTTTTCTCAGTGCCTCTATTAGGACTGAGGACTGCTCAACCAAACAAAAGAAAGTCATGATTGCAAAATCATGCAGTTTGGCTTAACTTCATATTGGCATTTCATTGTTTCAACTGTTCATTTTGAAATTGGCCTTATTTTTTTGTAATACCAGAGGACAAAAATTCATGGTTATTACTGTTATGCTTAAATGGGAATTATATTAAACTTCTGTCTTCATGAGTTTTTTCTTGTTGGCAGTGGTGCTTATTTTTGGATAAAAAACATTCTAGAGAAATACAGTATTCACTTCAAAACCATAGAGGATAAGTTTTTCAAACTCTTTTTTATGAGACTCAACTGTGCAATTTCACATACAAAATGATAACCTCTAAGCTAACCATTATTTCTTGGGAGCAAGACGTTACAGTGATGGTAGATATTTCCATAAGCACATTAACGCATAATTTCAGTAGGGATCAGGAAAGGAAAGTGTTAGGAATTAGTAGGAAAAGAATACAAGACAAATCAAGAAGTATTCTTGTGCTGCTGTGTAAGTTCTTGTACATGCAGGATACATGTATGTGTGCAGTTCTGGTCTCTCCATCTCTCAAGAAAACAAAACAAAACAACAGTAGAATTGAAGAAGGTTCAGGGAAGGACAACAGAAATGATCGGATGTATAGAGTGGCTTCCAAACAAGGTTAGGTTCAGTAGGCTGGACATCAGCAGTTTAGGAGAGTGTAGGAAGGATACAATAAGGATTTATAAAATCTAGTATAGAATCAAGTAGATAGATAGGTTTGTCACTTCTTGTTCCGAAATGACGTGAGAGGCATCAAAAGGTTCCATCAGGTGCTGGTTAAAAAGAAGAAGAGCTGGCTCCTCATGCAGTTTTGTTTCAAGCTAAGGAACCTAGTGGTGGGAGCCTGTGAATACACTGATGTTTACATGAATACATGGGAAGATCAGACAAATTCTTGAAAGGCGTATCTGCTAAGGTTTCCTAAATTCATAAACATTGCTTCTGTCTGAGAAGAGCCCTCAGCTAGAAGCTGATACATGCTGGGAGAATATTCAGGGAACATATGGATGATTCAGTGAACAAGCTCAAGTTACGTGTAAATGTATGGCACTGTAAGACTTTAACTGTTCATTTAAAACCTTTTTTTTTTTTTTTTAAGATAACAGAGATAATAATGTGTGCCGTTGTTGATTTTTGAAAACTTCAAGACATTTATTCTTTATCTTCTTTTCCTTTCATTGCCAAAGAAACCAGAAACCTGTAAGAATCATGAATTTTCCCTACCAAAAGATTCATCATTTTCTTCTTATATACAGACCAAAGAAGCAAATAGATTTTGTTAATGAAGTGGTCTTGAAGACTTAAAATTGACAGTAGATTTTAGCAAGAGTATTATGTGTTTTGTAAGGGGGATTGTGATACATAAAAATTCATAGTAATGTTTTGCATTACTTTTCTTCCAACAGAAAATTCATTGCTTCGCTATATGAGCAATGAGAAAATAGGCCAAGAAGACTACATGTTCCAAAGGAATAGCAAAAAGGATACTGGGAAAAAATCGAAAAAGAAGGGAGACAAGGGTAATAGTCCAAGCCATTACTCATTGTTGCCTAGTTTACAAATGGACTCATTGAGACAAGACGTCATGGGCACACCTGGACCAGAGACCACTTTGTACCACGTGAGTAAAAATAACATTAACAAAAGTTGTTGCTCTGTTTGTGATGAGAGACTGCCTTATTTTTATAGTTGCATTGAAGCCTTTTTTAGATTGCTGCTCTTGCACTGATTTTTGTTCTTCTGACAAAAACTTTATGCCAGTGAAATACTTTAAAATACTTAAAGTTGCTGTTACAAATGTAGGATGGAGATCTATAGTTTTATCTAGTTTCATCTACAGGAGATCTAGTTTTATCTCCTGTAAGTAGAAGATGTTGTGTTTGAAATGGAGTGTGGTATCTCTGTGTTGACTGGTTTACCGCTGATGGAAAGGGAAGAAGCAGCAGTCTGACAGGCTGGAAAGCTTCTTTCTGGTATCTATGTCACTGTAATATGCAAAGTTGCATTAGATAACCCCTTTGCTACAGGTATTCAAAAGGCAGTAAGACTTGTGAGAGGTCTTTGTTTTTCCTTTGAAGGAAGAGACTCTCTAACATGTGTAATTGCTCTTAACATATAGATCTTATTAACTCAGATTTGAAGAAAGAGATTCTCCTGAATATGATGTGAAAGGAAAATACCAGTACCTTGCTAGTTTTTGAATGTGTTGAGAAAATGGGGATTGAAGGTTACAGCATGTTTTAGATATGCTATTTTGTTCATCCCATAAAAGCATTTACGTTTTCATAGCTCAATAAAAGTTGTCATTGTAGAGTAATACGTGCATTGTAGTTGTACACCAAAACAATAGAAATAATCAGAGCTACCTTCATAGAGCTACCTTAATTCTCTCTTCAAAGAGAATGTTATTTAGATTGCCAGTGTCTAAGGGAGGCAGCAGTGTGGGCTTGTCAGGGACTTTGCTGTGAAAAACAGGCAGGTGTAGCTTCACTCTGAACTTGTAAGAGACAGGTTCGCTCTTCAAAGCAATATAAAACTGCTATTATATTATAGTTGCTGTAGGTTAACTGAAAGTAATAGAGCTTTTACATTCCTTTAGATTGTTTCAATGGTTTGTCCACTGGCTTCTAAAACTCCTTTTTGCACTATAGTGTTAAGTCTGATAAATTTCAGAGATGCCACTTAGTATTAAAAGTAGATGCTTGTGGTGTACTTCAATTAAATCAGATTCCCAGATTCCAGAATGCTATTGGCTTTCTTTTTTTATTTATTGTAATTTATAGTGATAAGCATTTTTTCTCATATTATTATTTTCAATAGTTTTACACTCTTTTTGTAAGTTGAAAATTTGGTAGTGGGGAGATGTCTATTTGCAAAGGCAAACTGATATATAGTTGCCTAATACATGAGGCAAAGTAGTTTTCAAATGTCACAAAACTGCCATCCTTGCAATGCCTGATGTCCTTTCTATAAGGAATCTAATCTAATCAGTCCAAGAAGCCTTGAAATCAAATATTTACAGAGGAAAATGGAAAAGTTATTTGTGTAACAGTTCTTCCACTCTGTAAAGAACAGTGTGGTAAGTTCGGAATACTTTTCACTTTTTGAGAGAATACTTTCCTCCAACAGCATTTATTTGTTAGTATCTGTTAAATTTCTCACACTGCAATGAGAGAAATCTTTTTTTAAGGTGTCATCTTGGTTTTTTTCCTTGCTCACCTCTATTACCTCAGATTCCATATTTGTATAAATAAATGATATACAAATGAACTGTAAAAATCTTCAAAATTCTTGTGTGAAATTTACTTAAGAGTAGCAAATATAGAATTAAGAACCAATATTTTTCATGTAGATTAGATACCCATGTGCAAAACACACCTTAAGGCTTAACCCCACAATTTCCACCGGCATCCAATTCCACCAATAATTTTTGTGTACTGTTGCAATTAATGGATGGCTCTATGATGCCATTAAATCTTTAGCATCATTAACGGGAGTTTATCTACTTGTAAAAATAAATAAAGGCTGTTCGTTCTTCAAAATGCAAATTGGTATTGATCTGCTAACTGGGTTTGAAGTGAAATGTGTAAAGTAAATAGAAAGAGGAAGCTTGGGCCATTGATTTGTCCCCAAAAGAAATGGGAAGGAGCTCTTCGCAAAGCATTCACAACCCTTTAATATCCTATCACTGGAAGCCAGCTGGCTGCTGCCATGCAGTGCAATACGGTTACTTTTTTTATGGTAGTAGCACCCAAGCATACTGGCTTGAGAAACCCTAATCTAGTTTGCAGAAGGGACTACATGTCTTTGCCACAAAGCAGAGCCTATTTACACTCTGGTCTGAAATAAGCAAACATAGAAGGGATTGCTGAATATACTGTAAAAGCATAGAGCATAAAAATTTGCTTTTCAGAATTTCTGTTACTAATGATGAAAAAAAGAATAGGAGATAAATACGGAGAGAACTAATAATTTCTGCAGATGAGCTGAGAAACAAGAGTATATAAGGGGTCCACACCAACAAACAGGGGTTTTGTAATAAATTGTGCAGATTATTTATTTTTTTTTAAATTCAAATGCACAGTTCAATGAGCAGATAAGGAATGAATTAATACAGATAAAACCCAAGGAGCTCATGTCTGACTGTAATATAATTTTATTAAATTATAAACAACAAATAGGAGAAGGGAAACGTATTTAATATTTAAATTCAAAATAGTATCTTGGAGACTGATAAACATTTTCCTATTAGAATTTGGTTTTTGTTTTTAAAATCAGCTACCTAGTTTTCACAAAATAAAAAATGATTACCTGGAAATGGGAGCTTCTGAATGAGCATGAGTTCAGTGCAAAAGGAATGGTGGTAACTGTAAAAACTGCATTAATAGCAGTGAAAGAGTAGCTGTAGCTGAACTTGAACCTCTTGCAGTGCCTAAGTCATTAGTATTAGGTCCGACTACTACAGAATACTCCACCGTGCATATTAAGTGGCTACAATCCCTGGTGTCTCTTTATGTTAAAAGTTTTCACCTGTTAGTCTGTGTTTACCTGACTTCTATGTCCAATCTTAGATATAGCTGTGCTTTTGTCCTCTAGGTTTACAGGCCTTTTGTTGCCAAATTTTATCTCCCAATGTAGAAACTGACAAGTTGTAATCAAATTACTTTGTAGCCTTCTTTTGCTTAAAAGAAATAGAATATCCACCCTGGATTTGTTATCAGAGTGTTTTCACATCCTTTCATTATTCTCATAATTCTTTCAACTCCTCTTTTTTTTCATCCCAATGTATCCTAAGTATCTTAAATGTCCTTCCTAAAGTTTGTATGCCAGAACAGGACATAAAATTCCAGGAGCAAACCAGATAGAAAGATAATGTGTCCTTTCTATTCACACTTGCTGCCTCTTTAAATAAATAAATAATAAATAAAGGACAGCTTACCCATTTTAACCATAGACTTGGAATAGGAGCATATTTATTACCTGGTTTTATTTTTTACTATTATATCACTTATCCAAATCACTGATTTGCAAGATTGGTAGTCCCAATCCAGTTATTTAAGTCTTGCATTCTTTGTTCTTGTATGTTTGGTATGTTGAAACATAGAACTTCTTGGATGCTCTGGCTGAATAATCTGTGGCTCTGAAGCAGCCCCAAGCATGAAATACCAGAGAGTAAGGGCTCTGGGTCCCCAGGTGTGTCCCTGTGATTCCCCAGTCTGTAGCATGGAGTACTGAAGGTATAGCAGTCTGGGGTCTGCTGTGGAATGGAGCTTCTGAAACCTTTGATTTGAAGTGATGGAAATTCTGTGTGAAATTAAACACGTACACATACTTCATTGTTTTTTTCTCTATTTTCTTTTCTCTTTCTCTCTCTTTCTTTTTCTGAATTCCCTGGAATAGAAACCATACAGCTCACTCAGCAGTCAGATATCATCCATGTATTTCACCAGTCTACAGTTGTGTGTTATCTTTATTTTATAAAGACTTCATTCTTCTTGAGTCTCTTAATATAGATGTTAAATAATTTTGGATTATTCAGTTAATCATGAATTCCCATTTACAATTCCAGGTCTCCTTCCTTTTGAGTTTTGTAGCCATTATTTACATGTGCAGGCTGATTACCTTTTTAGCTGTGGCAGTTTTCTGCAGAAAAGCAGCTTTTACAATTACTCTGACTTCAACTCCTTGCTTCTACTACTTTTATAAATGGCTCTGAAAGGAAAAAATTTTGATCAAAAAACTACCCTGGTGAATTAAATTACCACAACAGAAGTGGTATTTTTTTTTGTCTTATAAACAAAGTGAAGGGCCTTAAAATTTTTGCCATAGTAATTTAGAAGTGTGTGGTTGTTGTTTATTTGCTGAAAGTTGTCATCTGAAAGATGCCAGCTGATTCAAAGTGTGTTTGTTATATTAAGTGATCACAAGAATATGGTAGTCTAGCATTTTCTTGAATGTCAGTATACTAAATTTGCATAAAATTACTGGTTTTAGTAATTTTGTGTATGTCATTGACCTGCCTTGACAATCAAAAACTCTGGTCAAGGGAGCATTTCAGTTACGACCTTGAAAAGTGAACTGCATCTAACTATGTCCACTGAATATAACTGATATAAACAGTATAAAAGCAAAATAAAAACTAAATTGTATTCTTGTATCTACTTACAGCATTTTATATCCTCGTTTACAAAATCTCTTCACCACTTTGCTTTGTTTTGTTTTCCATTCCAGAAAACACTTCCAGCATACATTGGTATCTTGCCAAGTTGTTGTTTTTGCATTATATTTTTCCTCCTCAGTACTGCTGAAGAAATACCAACACAGAGAGTTAATGTTTTTTATTAAGCCAAGACAAACAGTTTGAGCTGCTGCTAATCTAGTGTGCAATCAGGTGTTCAAAGTGATCTGTTGTTGTAGATACAAAATGGTGCAGTTAAAATTGTCTTGGACCTTTGAGGCACAAGAGATGAAATCTCTGACACATGATTATAGCTTTTTTAAGTTCATTATATTATTCTGTATAGGTATTTCCTTAGTGCATTGTGCTTTGTTTTTGTTACAGAAAAATAATATAGTTATTTAGGAGGGAGATTGTGTCATGAGTCAGAAGAAGTTCTGCAT